TATAATATAAAATAAATTGTAAAATATCAATTTTTTGTTTATTTTGTAACTAAGTTTATTATTGTAATTATCAGCACAATTAACATATAAACAGTAAAAATCATTAATTAAATAATTAATAAACCTTCCCTCCTATAATCAACAACCTTGATTTTTTTTTCTATTTATTAATTCCATATCTTACGATGTGGCGCTGTAGTTAGTTTCATAAATTTATAATTTTAAATGATTGTATCATGTTGTTACTTTCTAAATTTTATTTTAAATCTATTTAACTAATTACTAACACACACGAATAGGCACGATTTTCTAACAATTAATTTAAAAGGAAAAAAATAAACTCACGTAATGTTAAATAAATATAATATGTGTACATGAATATGATTAAGTAATTATTGAAATATTTGTATAATAATTGATACGGTTGAAGTACTATCGTTGGTAATATGAGCGATAATATGATCACACCTGCGAAGTTTAACCACTTCAATATTATTTTATGCAGAGAGTACATAAATTAAAGGTTATCCGGTGGAATCGGTCGAATAAATCCATAAAAACGTTTGGAAAGATAATAATGCAAGAAAATTCGGTAAGAATATTATACATATTGATGCTTATTAATTTTCTACAGTTTCATAACACTTGATATCTTATAATTTCTGCGAATAATAAAATTATATAATTCATTCTAACCTCACAATGCATAAAAATGTATTTCATATAATCATCATTTAAGTAGATAACGTAGGTATTACTCACTCATATTATCCATATCTTATCATACTCAAGACTTTTAACTTATACTGTTCGAATTTTCATGCTCTAACATTAAGAATAACGTTGTAGTTATTTTAATTTCTTAATCTAGTATCACATTTTTTTTATATAAAGTGTTACATATTACTTTCTACGTTTAGTATTATCTACAAATGTGTTTTATAGTTGCAGCTGAAATAGGGGTGAACAGTATTAATAGGTAAGTTGATTAAAAACTTATATTATTTTAGTTAACCAAACGTTTCTATAGACACACACACACACACTACATTTATATACATTATTTATATTTATTTATATATTTTTATGAACATATGGTATGAAATACTTATATGTGTAGTATAATATACTTTATTTTATTTTATTTTAGGTTAGATTTATGCGATGAGTTAAAATTATTAACGAAAAGGATTGGTGGTCGAGGTGAAAAAGGTTACAATAATCAAAGGATTAACCATGACGTCCCTTGGAAAATTAATATTTATAGATATACACTCTAGGAATCCAAAAATTTCATTTTCCAATGATTTGCAAGCGAATCATGTTGAATCTTTGTCCTTCGCATTTCAAAATCTATTTCATATGCCGTTTGATATTATTGAAAACTATGGAAATACAATACATACTTTAGATATTAGTAATAATAAATTCTGTAGGTGAGTACGCAAGTTTATTCATTATATAACTTTAATTATATCCGTCAAGTTGTTATGTTAATTCCTTTCTAGAAATTTACACTTTCTGTCAGAGTTCGAAAACTTAACGTCTCTCAACCTGGATTATAATAATATCGATGACTTTACTGTCTTTCCGTACATGCCAAAACTTCAATTATTGTGGATAAATCATAACAAAATCGATCAATTATATCCATTTATTAAGAATCTCTATGAGAGTATGCCTAATTTGAAATATTTGAGTCTTATGGGAAATAAGGCTGCACCTAGTTATCTTAACGGTGGAACATTCTACGATTATCTACAGTATAGGTAAGACATATTATAGATAAATATATTTCATTATATTTTCCATAGCTCTCTATAAAATTACATTACTATTAATTATCAAATATATTTAAATTTAATATCATCGTATACTATCTTTTTTGTAAAGGTTGTTTATTATATCGTGGTTTCCACATCTTGTACACTTGGATGACCGGACAATTACTTTTGAACAATGTCAAGAAGCTAAAAGACTGTTTAAGAGGCCATTTTTAGAAAGTTTGTCTGAGAATGCTCCGTTACCAGAATGTCTTAAGTATTTGCATAAAAAATTAGCAAATATGTTTTTTAAGCCAATCTTACCTAATAAACAACAAAGTAGGGGAACGAATTTTGTTATTTGAAAGATTTGTAAGTGAAATAAGGTATGAAAGCAGCTAGAGAATTTATACTCTTTTTAAGACAGAATAAGTATGTAAAAATTCTTTTAGACTTTTTAAACAACCAATAACTGCCTTAAAATTGATATCACATATAGTAATTATTATTGTATTATTTATAAGTAAAATTATAGAAGGATTAAGGATTTTAAATATGTTATGAATAATATTGCCTCCGTCCCAAATTAGTTGTTATATTTGGCGTGTAAATGTTTATGCAAATATAACAACTATTTTGGGACGAACAGAGTACTATTTATAATACATTATGGAAATGCAATTTGTTTGCCACGGTTATAGTTTAAAGATTAACAAAATCTAATTAACTAATAGCAATAATTTATATTGAAATGTTTTGTTATTTGTTATATAATATAATCCATTATGTTCTTATTCCTTTTATACCTAATTGCTTCATTTTTATACATATTTAATCTTATAAATAGCGTGTTATTTTAAAATTATCATTTATTATGGCTTGTTCATATATATTTCAATAAAATTCATGTATGAGATTATTTACACATATCTTTATGAGATTATTATGATATTTATGAAATTAAATATATATGTGATAATATTAATCCCTAATAAATGGAAATTTTTAAAGTAACGAACAATAAGGTGTAAAAGGTATACTAATTATAAAACAAAATAAATAAATTTTCTTATGTATTTTTTGTACACGTTAATTCATTTATACATTGATATCTTAATTAATATTTTCATAACACCATATTTATATTTATATATACAAATTCATACATATACATAAACTAAATATATTTATTTTATTTTGTTACGACCAAAATAAAACATTTCCAATAATTTTCATTATAGGTTTAATAAAACCTTAGCATACTCTTTATATTTTTATTTTTCAGTAAAATCCTATTTTCTTATTGTTATTTACTTTTTATGATACAAAATTTGAAATAGCAATACATGCAAACAGACTGATATATTTAAAAGAAATATGAAATATTAAAAATTAATAAATTTTATTTTTTATTTTATGCGGATACATTATAATTCAGATAACAATTCCCCATAGATATAGAACTTGAAGTGCAAATGTCATCTATAACAAATATAAAAACAGATAAAATGACAAATTATGCTTAATACATTTGATAACATTTGCAACTAATTGAAATGCATATTAAGGTCATTTTTTCGTATTAATTTGAATAAAACATAGTACCACATCTAAAATTTGTTTTATGATGTAAAAAATCCTGGTATTTGGCATTGAATCAATAGCATTTCTAATAATAGATACTAAGCCGCCATTTTGTTCTATCCCTTCGCATTTTATGCCATTGACCGTTATCATACATGGTAAAGAATTACGCAAAATTTTGTCTACTAAATGATTCGTTGTGTATTCGAAATTTCCAATAGAACGGATGATCTTTTCAGGTATAATCATCAATTTAGGACCTATAAACGGAATATTGTTCAATAGTAATGCTAGCGATAGTAGTTCCCTAACTAATAGATCTTCCTGATGAATAGCAACGCTTTTTGACGACTCGATTGGTGCTTTAGCTTAAAAAAAAAAAAATATATATATATATATATATATATATAGATCAAAAATTAATATTATAATATATATAAA